ACATTTTGAGCAAAAAGCTAAGATGAGGTGAGAACTATGTTTAAAACATAAACACCCCCAAAGCTTCACAGTCCTATAGCTCGTCCTGGGTCAATATTTCATTCAGTAACATAATGCAGTTTTGATTTACATGCCATCATGTTAGATTACATATGCATCTGCTTACATATGATATTGCTGGTTTCTGCTTATTCTTATACATGTCTTTTGATCTGGAGATGAAGAGTCTTTTAGAAGATGCGTAATAGCACCCCCTACCGAATAACAGTGAAAACACAGGAATCAGGAAAATTTCGTCAGTGGCGGGGAAGCGTTATCTCATAAATGACGGACATTTCCGCCAATGGCTGGGAAAGAGTTAAAACCACAACAAAAAATGTTTCTGTTTCTTGAAATAAAATGAATGTTAATTGAAAAAAAAAAATGATTCGATTTTCATTTTGTTTTGGAGGTCTCCTACAATAGGTTTACAAGCATCCAAGGTCAAAAAACACTTTAATTTTCTCATAATACACATTGTAGCATCACATCTTTTATCACAGTGTCTGAAACCAAGGATCCGATCTTTATAAACCGTTCCTTTCTGAAAGCCTACTGTGCTCTGATTGGTCAGTTGGCAGAATCTGTTGTGACTCTACCACTTTACAGTTCACCGGAAACTAAATATATCTGAATTTCCGCTCCATGGCACATGTAGTAATACGAACCCTAATGATGGCGTCAGATTGTACCATATTAATTTGAGCCTGAGTCCTTTTCATTTGTAAGTGCATAAAAAGTGGATTTGCTTTCACAGCGCAGAAAACATCTTCTCGACTTAAATCTTCCAGGCCTCAGCTAGAGCTATAGTGTTTGAGAGCAGATCAAATTAGACATTCACAGGGAGTCCATATTTCCCTAGATGTTCAATCCATAAAATGTGAAAAAATGCACAAAATTCTACATTGGCCTTCTTGAAAATGAGTCCGAGTTTATCTTTTGTTGTGCTCAGACTGGAAAACCAGGGGACGCAGGAAATAAAGGGCCAGAAGGTGGACGTGGCCAACACGGACCCGAAGGCCCACCAGGAGAGCCTGGTCCAAGAGGCATGCAAGGAGACAGAGGGGTGCCTGGACTGGCTGGGAGACAGGGACGACCGGTACGCCTGTTTTAATCATCTTAATATTGACGGCTTAATCAAAGTTTATTAAATCTGTCATTCCAATTAGATTTTGCTATATTAAACTCATTATATGGTTGGCAGACCATGTGTGTTTTTGTCAAGTTCTAAAGGGATTGTTCCACCAAAGCCCTTTTTACATCCAGTCAAGGAGGAACAACAACAGGAAAACACTTGCAATATTAATAGTGTCCACTTAATTTTCCTCTAGGGCCGAGCACCAACAGATGAACACATCAAGCAGGTCTGCATGAGGGTTTTGCATGGTAAGTGTTTTGGTATCCGAACAGATATTTACAAATGGAAGCTCAACTCATTGTTAAATCCTTGTTCTTCGATTTTTCGTTTTTCCTCACAGGGCAGCTTGCCCAGTTGGCTGCCAGTCTGACGAGGCCTGAGTCGGGCATCTCTGGGTTGCCAGGTCCTCCTGGTCCCCCTGGCCCTACAGGGCCTGCTGGAGACAATGGCTTCCCTGGGCATCCTGGAAGCAGAGGACTGCCAGGTCTCAAAGGGCCCCCAGGTCTTCTAGGGAGAAAAGGACCCAAAGGTACGAAGAGACTGAAGTTGATTGTAGTTCCTTTTCAAGAGCGGTAACTCAGTGTGCAGTGTGCTTGGGCGCGCCTTCCTCAGGTGTGTGGCACATAAACCATTTGGAATTAAAGGCGGTGTCCTTAGCCCTGGAAGCTTTTCGGTCGAGGTTGAAGAAGCAGCATGAACTGATTCGAACCGACAACATGTCTGTTATTTCTTACATAAAACGCATGGGCGGCTTGCGCTCCAGAGCTCTTTGCTTAATGCAAAATCAGGGAGGAGAGAGCGTCAGTGATCCTCAAGGCCCCGGACTGCCCGAACCAGCCCTGGTTCACGGATCTGAGAGAGATAATTGTGCCCCCCCACCCCCTTCGCTTTAATTGTGTCTGGATATGCAAATTTGGATAGGCTCGGAGCTAATGTCTCATGGTCTATGTCAGCCTATCAGATGCGAGCACTCCTAGCAGTGCGGCTATTGGCAGACAGTCTGTTTTCTCCGTGGCTGGTGTAGCTTGACCAGGGCTTCTCTTGACTTCTCTCATGGCGGGTTTTAATATAGTCCTGCAGCGTTGCTAACACAATGTAGAGTTTCCACTCTTAAAAGGGAACGTCTCAAGTTACTATCGTAACCTCGGTTCCCTGAGAGGCAGGAACGCGACATTGCAATTGCTCAGTCGTGATTCTGACGCAAGTATTGTGTCCGTGAATTTTATACTGCCCGCGAGCATGTCAGTATTTGCATACTTTGTGAAAATTGGCCAGCTGTTCCAAGCAGTGTTGGTACGCAATGTCTCGTTCCTGCCTCTTAAGGTTATTATAGTAATCTGAGACGTTTTTGGTATAAATTTAAGGTGTGGTTACATTTTCAGTTTCAAAGGAAGATTGCATTACATTTTGGCACAATACGCCTTTTGCGCCGACGTCACAGTTACGCCACGGCTGGAGGCAAAACAAAGTGAAAACTGGAGGCGGCCAATACAAAAACAGCACAGATTCGGCTACATAATAAGGAGCTTAAATTATTGTTACTATTATTAAATGTTATCTTGTTGTGTTGTTTGGTGCAAGAATTGATGAAAAATGAATATGCTGTATTTTTATTTCTAGAAAATATTCACATCATTAAAATGGCACTGTAATGTCACTCTTTACATTGTGGTCGTCTCGGAAGCTGGCTCGGCAGAACTGCGGATCATACACACAAGTCTTGTACAGGACCATATAGTTATAGGCATCTAAAGATTTATATGCCCTCAGTTTCTCGTTATGATCGGTTTCTCTATAAGGTAGGTGTAGAAGTCAGGCCACTCACCCGAGGTAACGCAACGTTAATCCTGTCAGATCGTCCATGCATTGAGTGAGTGTGTAGGCGGCTACGGGTCGGCCAATCTGGTTCCGTCCGTTAAAAATAACTTTTGGAAATAACAATCACAGTCCTGGACACTGAGTGACCTTACACAATAAGATAAAATCGGATTTTCTCCAGTCATTGTTAAAAAACAAGCTAACAATCCTTGCTAACTAGCGTTAGTGAAGCGGCCAGAGGGATCGTTCTGCCTCCACCTAAGCTCCGCCCATAAAAAAAAAACCGTCACCATGTTTACCAACTGAAAAGGGGTCTATACTGTAGAATATGTCTTTTGATGTCAACAGCAACAGTCATGTCTGTTTACTTCTATCATAATTGATTATATTGCATTATGAATCATTATCATATTGTTGCATTTTATTATTTATTATCATTTAGCATTGTTTTATTCTCACTCAGAAATTGCTAGTAATTTTTGTGATTTTATTTAGAGCTGTGCAAAAATGAATTGCGATTAATCGCATCCAAAATAAAAGTCTGTGTTTACATAATATACTTGTGTGTGCTATATATAATTTTTTTTCTATATATAAATACCTATGCATGCATGTATATATTTAAGAATTATTTGCGCTTAAATTCTGTATATATATATATATATATATATATATATATAAATACATAATCTATATTATATAAATATTTTATATATGAATAACACATTTTCGTAAATATATACATGCATGTGTGTGTATTTATATATACAAAATAATTATATACAGCACACACAAATATATTATGTAAAGACAGACTTTTATTTTGGATGCGATTAATCGCTATTAATTTTTGCACAGCCCTAATTTTATTGTAATATACTGTATACTCCAATAACCTTTGTTTTTGTTTACGTTTAACGTCTGTGACCAGAACGCAACTGGGACTAGTTTTTGGGCCATCAAACACCAGTTGAGAGCCTTAAGCCCACTATTAAACTTTTGTTCCTCTTGATTTAGGTGACCAAGGTGACAGGGGAGATAGAGGGCCCACACTGGAGGGGTCTAAAGGTATACCTGGACCACCAGGGCTCCCAGGTAAGAGCAAGGCCAACATCTTATCTAATATACATAATTTACTTCATCACTGTGCGTTATATGACGTTGGCAAATCTGTAAATATCATGGCTCTGACCTGATCTGTTCTTCCACCTGATCTCAGGTATGCCTGGTACTCCCGCATATGGCAGTAATGGTCGTGATGGCCTGAGAGGACCAGCAGGTGTTCCTGGAATGCCAGGTGTGCCGGGACCACCTGGCCCGCCCGGCCTGAACGGATACTGCGAGTCATCTCAATGCGTGCTTCAAGCAGGTGCAACGCCAATCAGTGATTCCAACATGAAGGGACCAGACAGTCTATGAGCTGACAGCCATCAGCGAGCCACACATCAGAGCCCAGCGTCTCTGGACAGGGAAACTTGAGAGACTAATGGAAGTGACTCCCTCTACGAGGAGATTTCTGTGTTGTTGGTAAATGCAGGTGTTATTGTACTTCAGATCAGGTGTGAAGTTGGATCCGATTGCCAGTCTCATTCAGGCCCATTTTACGAAGCATTTTTTTGTGACACTTTTGGATGCATATAGTATTTAAATCATGCCATCACACCCTAGTCAATTTACACATTGAAGGCAGTTAAAACTTTTTATATCAGAGGGGGTCCAAACGTTGTAAATTTGTCAATATTGCATTCAGTTAAAAATAAGCATTGTAAGCATTTTATTAAATCGTTTTCAGATTGTTTTAACCTCGACATTCTCCGATTTTGTGAAAATGTTTGCGGTTCTTTGCAGTGGGGCTGTTTAAAAATGTTAGGAATTTCTATATTCTTTATTTATTGTAGAAAGGATTGCTGTGACACCTGCAGTTGTGAAAATGGAGGAAAATAAAATAATTTTGATAAAATGCTGCATGTTATTAATTGAAAATCAGGCTTCAAAGAGACAATTATTTCCTTCAGTGTATCTTTATTGTACTCTCAAATTGGCGAACATGTAGCAACTTGTCTCTCGCTATGATAAAACACATATCCACTGATATAAATAGGTGATTTAATAATACACATTCAAATACCATACATAAATCAATTATCAAAATATTAAGTTACGCACATCAAATAAAAAGGCATAAAAATACCGCAGACATTGAGGTCCAGTTTAAGCCAAAACACAAACATCACACTATTGACATGGCAGTAATAGGTAAACGAAGTTTGGATAAACAACAAAAACTAGTACCCCAACCTTCAATATATTTCTATAAAGAATTTTTATTTTCCTCTATTTAATTCTTTTCTTCCTAAAGACATCAAGAAACCTCTCCAAATGCCATTGAGAACTGCTCCACCAGACGGCATTTTTCTGCTGTAATAAGGCATTTATTTTAGATCTTTTTGGAGGCAGGCATTTATTACAGAGACTAAAAATCATATCGATAACAAAAAGTGAAGTATTTTTAATTAAACAATTTAGATTATAAAGCATACTATGTGTTTGGCAGAGGTGAGATTTGACCATGTTCACCATCATCACAAAACACTAAGCTCAAAGTTCAAACAAGCACTTCACCTTGCTGATAGGTTCTCCACAGGAAAATACAGAAAACAAAGAGGAGGGAGCGGGACACTTGTAACGAAATAAGCTTCATCTTTGTAACGCCATTTTCACATCAATTAATAGAACAAACTACTTATGCTAGATACAAATTTCCATTACACATTTGATAAAGGCTGATGCGCAAGCTTTTACTGAATGCAGCAGTTGGTGCGGTGGCCGTTGGAGTCCTTGAATCGAAGACGCATTTTGGGATGATATTTTTCCAGATAGAAGAGCTGCTTGCTGTTAAATGCTCCACGGCGCTTTCTGGAATTAAAATAAACTTTTCTCTTTAAAAATGGAGATAACATGCGGACTATCATTATAATATTTTCACAAGTACAACGTTAACTCACTGTCGTATAAACTGAACAGCATCCTCGTATTTCATCCCACACTCAATAAGGGCCAGGGCAACCAGAACTGGGGCTCTATGGGAAAGAAAACAAAACATATTTTAACCCATATTTATGCCTTATGATACAAGCAATGATATCTTGAGTCCAATAAAACAACCTTCCAAGGCCTGCAACGCAGTGTACGGCAATGCAGCAGCCTGGCTCCTCCCTAAACTTGAGCCGAAGAAGATTCAGCCAATCATCAACGATCTGGTTAGAGGGAGGAGCGCCATCGTCAAAGGGCCAATCCTGCACAACAGCAAAAAAAAAAAAACGCTTAAAACATGACCTAAAATGATTCATTTTCATTTAATTGGTTCATACGGACGTACCAGAACCTGAATGCCTTCTTTAACAACCAGCTTTGTATCATACGTGGCCTCACACACTCTAACAATAGTCGTCACACCATATTTCTTCAGTTCCTAATGGATGGGAGGGATGTCATGTAAGTGATATTTTGCAGTTACTGTAATTACAAGCAATTGTAATAGACCCTCATTATGAGCTTTTTATTATCATCTATCCAAAACATCACTTTTAGTGTGTTCAAGCCATTTTAACCAGCACTCACCTCAATGAACTTGTGAAGCGTGGCATTAGTGGGGTTGTGGGTAATGAGGAATCTCATGTTTTTGTAAGTGATCTCCACTGGGGCAGGTCTATTCATACGAGCCATTTTGGACTTTTCAAAATAAAACAGCTTGAAAATCTTAAAGAAAAGTGTGAGAAACTCTCTCTTGTAACAACAGGGAAAACAGAGGAGACAACCAAAAAACTAAAGAAAACAAGGCTGGTTCTCTGGTGAGAGTGAAGACGTAGGGCCGGCGAGGGCAGTGCACTTCAAGAGACTTTTTTTACCCCATCCAGAACCGCCGACCGCTGTGGACACCTGCTCTCCAAGCCCGATCCCGCCAACGTTAAAACTGTAACACAAGTCTCTCTTCTGATGAGGTAGCGAGGCTAGCCGTTCACTTCTCTGCATAAACGCCGTGCTGAGCCTGGCAGTAGTCCCCACTGCCCTTCAGAAACTCCATAAATGTGTGACCCAAAACACCACAGAACTGCTGCAAGAACACAAGAACAGAAGCACAAGCGGTCAGGAAACAGAACTTCATTTAGCTTTTTCATTCCTGATTTAAAGCGTCAACAGTAAGATGTTTTTCAGCTGGTCCAGTTGTGTGTGTGTGTACATACACACATATTTTTATTTATATTATTTTTTACTTTATATTCATCAACGAATCCTGAAAAAAGTACAAGTTCCTAAATAATATTAAGCAACACAACTGTTTCCAAAATTGATATTAAATAGGCATATTAGGCACAATATTACTGTTTATTCAATGTATTTTTGATCAAATAAATGCAGACTTGATGAGTATAAGAGACTTATTGCCAAAACATTAAAAAAGCACCATAATTGCTGGAAATTATACAGAAAAGTACTACAAAAAGTTAACTAATTCGTGGCAAAACCTGACAGGCAAAAACTAACAACCATTCGTTTACAGCTACAGAAAACAAAATGTTTACAAGTCATGAAATTTATGTTTTGAATCATGTCATCTATTACGTACATTCCATATTAATCAAATATAAAACAAGAAATTTTCAGAGAAGCTTATATCATTTTAGATCTGACAATATTCACCAATCAGAAGAAAATTTCAGTTTTATAATCTGAAATGTATAATGTTACACTCATAAACACAAAAATACTTATGCATCCCGATTCCCTATAGCCTAAAGAACTGAACCTGTGTATTCGTGTCAGCTTTAAAAATCAACCATATCCCTCTTTCCCTTCCATAAATACATCATGACTCAGAGATGAGTCAATGAGCAGCATATGTGGGTCATCAGAGAAAACACTTGACCGGTTCCGATGGGATGTTTTCCGGGAAGGCTGAAATCTTCATCATGTCAGTCTCGTGAAGGCACAAACGTGTCTCATCAGCTCTTTGGGATTATCAGATGCTAAGCCTCTTTAGCAAACCACTTTAAAAAAAAAAAAAGAAAAAAACGCGACAAGCCTCATGTATTCGTAACCCAAATCTACGTCATACAAATGAAAGACACAGATGTTTGGTTGAGTTATTTTTAAGCGTGATTTTATGGAAATCAAGTGTAAAGGCCCCGAACGAGGCCATTAAAATGACCAAATGCGGTAAAATGTTTGAATTGTACAAACGACGAATTATCCTAAACGTCTATAAAAGCATCATATCCAAAACATCATCAACATGCTAACGTTACTTGATCGACACAAAGACGTCCGCTCGGCTAATATTTGCAATAGTCCAAAAGCTGACATATTACCGTAATTTTTAACAACACCAACACCACAACACACACTCTCTTCCCAGCTAAACACTTTGGTTAATTTTTAATGTAGCTAATCGATTAACGAGAATTAAAAGACCGATATGTCGTTCTAACGTTAAGTTAGCTGTGAGGCTAACCGAAGCTAACATCGTCACCAAGACGACATTATAGCGATGCAATCTAATATTTATAACCACACATAAGGTTTTAGATTTGTAGATAGTTAAAACAAAACACGTATTAATGTATATATAACGTTAAACTGTGGTCGACAACAAAATCTGTTTTGGTCTAGTCGTGTCAATTAACGTTAGCTCACAATAGATCGAGATTATAAGCACTTTTCACGAAAATAAACCCTGAATCCGCGAAAAACAATTAAATGTATATATGTTGAAAGGCTTCACTTACTGGAATATGCTTACTCATTGAAGATTGTAGCTTAATCATAAAGCCGCTCCGGAGAATAATTGTTGTGGTGTTTGACCATACAGCGCTGCCGTGTATGTGATGATGAGAGAGTCTCCGGTAACCGGTTACAGCTGGACTCAAGAAACCGCACCCAACTACACACACTCTACTGCACACACACAGCCTGACACACTTACCATCCACACCGTTTACACATACATACATCTTTTTATTATCACTCAGGTTGATTGGGACACTTTTTCACAGTCATCTCAATGGCAAAAGGGTCCCAAATTATCTCTATTCAGTTATATATTTTAAACATTTCCTGCAATTGTAATAATAAAAAATAAAGTAAAATAAAAAATTATATATATATATATATATATATATATATATATTACAATTCTAAAGATCTTATATTTGTTACAAATCATTATAATATTTATCATTATCAATAACACTTTTATTCAAAATGTTATTAAATAAATGTAAAAAAAGGTTATTTAATTACATTTAATAAAAATAAAAATAATTCTGGCAATTCTGCTATGCTGATGCTGCAAGGCAAGGGCTTCTATACATACACGACGCGCTGTTGTAAGTAAGACATGCTGCTGCTATATAATAGCATGAATAACCCATAGCAGATACAGGTGGAGCTTTCTGAAAGTGCTCTGCAACTACTACAGCAAGTATTTGAAGGTTAAGATAACTCATTGGTTACGGATTCAACTGGAACCAATCAACCATGCCCAATCTAGTTTTCATGACAGAACTTTGTATTATTAAAAATAAAAGTTAATTCTATTATTTTATTCATGTAGCCGACACATTTATCCAAAAGTACTTCCAATGAAGGAAAATCACAAACTATTAACAATGCCTAATTTTAGGAGCAGTCCAAACTAACATCATTTTAACAAACGCATAAAGATCCAGAATATTTACAATATTTAACTACTATGGTGCTCACTCTAAAATTGGAAGATTATGACCTAAACATGGGTCTTGTCTTCATTTAGGGCAATCAAATCTACATTTAACATTCTTGTATACAAGTTTTCATCTGACCCTTTCAAAGATTTGGTTTATTTATCATCTCATAATTTTCTAGAATAAAATACATCTTTGTTTGTAGCCATCTTTTATCAAATATGCCTTCCATTATATTAGTTCAAATTTACTAACAGTGCAAAGTGTTCAGTTATGTTCACATTATAATCAATGGCTTTGGCATTCTGTTAAATAACCTTTAGTCAAATAACAGCATCTTTCTAGAGATTTGATGAATGATGTGTTGTGGGCTGTTGAAAACAGCTGATGTGCAGAAGCTCACAATAGATGAGTGGGACTGAACAGACTGGACGGTTCATGCATCTGGTTGGGGAGAAAGGGAGCAGATTGGTTTGTTTCCAGTCTCTGTTAGTCAGTTGTGTGAGCCACTTCGATTGGGAGATGGTTAAGACTTTCCACACATTCACATAAAAAAAAATTAAAAAAAAAAGATCATAATGCAAGAATCAGAGGAATCCAAAGATACGGTAAAACTTCAAATCTTTGCAGTTATTGTTTTGTTTTTTACTTAAATGTTTTTTGTCAAATGCACGGTTGAGTAAAATTGTATTTTGGAAAATGGTGTTACTGTATTATGAGTTATATTCTGTCTGAATGCCATACATTTCATCTTCAGGAAAACATTCCAGACCAAGTGGATGGAGGAAGTATGAGTGCAGGAAAGAAGGGTGCAGATCTAAGAGAGAAGCATCTATCCTCCTCTAACTGGGACAGAAAAGGGACATCTGTACCCATAGTGCCATCAAACCCACCAATTCCAGGCCCCAAAAATGACACCATCCTTATTTCCATTGGGCCTCCACATCGTTGCCCCTCTGTCTCCAGCGAGTCCCAGTACCAGGGTTTCGAGAGAGAGGACGACTACGCCAACAGGCATGGATGGAGAAGGGAAAACGTGCAATATTACATGCCAACTAGTAAGGGTGGCGTACCCAAGCAAACAATGGATGAACTGAAAAATGTGTTGCGCGAGAGCTCCCTACTGAGTGAAAAAGTGCAAGGTGAAAGAAGGAGCTACCCTCCTGGTCAAAGAGTGGACTGTAAGCCAGACCAAGTGCCTTTTAAGAGTTTCAGCACGTTCAAGCCAATTTCAGAAGCTAGGAGAGCATCCAGACTAAGCTCTAATTTGGATTCAGGCAGGTCTTCAAGTACTGATGGGCCTCCAGTCAGGTCCTCTGGTGTGAAATCCCCCACTGTTGAGACATCTCACTGGGATGAAGCTGGCACATCACATTCAGGTCAGTATGCGCCTTTGGGTCATCTTCTTCTCTGAGGATATTTATGGTTGTCTGATTTTAATTTGTCTTTCACCCTTCTGTCAATCATTTCATTTTTCCAACAGACAAAGAGAGCTCACAGGCATACTCTTTTGCATCTCAAAGCTTCATTTCTGACGTTGAGAAAATAAAACAGCAAATTGCCCGGGAAAACATAAGCTTTGTTCGCTTTGAGGCCACCGATCTTCATGGCGTAGCCCGATCCAAGACCGTTCCGGCTCGATTCTTTCACGTAAATCTTTTAAATGCCTCTTATTGAGTGTGTTGGTATATGATGGTACAATCTTAAGCTGCTGTTTTCTGTAAAACATTAGAATTTTGATACATTATATCTTGAATATAAGTGTATTTTGTCATAATGGTACACTGGCATAATTTTGCACTGGTTCAGTCAAACTATTTTCAAAGAACGACCTCACGACCTCACTCGCATGAATTTGTGTAATTTGTCTAAACCCCATGGGTAGGTTTAGTGGCGGAGTCAGGGGTAAGTCATTCGTACGAATTCATTCAAACTGGGCAACTCGTAAAATATGTATGATTTAACACAAATCGTACAAGTGATGTCATGAATTCGTACGAATTAGCCACCTCGTAGAAAACGCGTACAAATTGCCTTGCGATCGGGTTGGTATTTTACAAAGTGTCAATTTCATATGAATTTCATTGATCCCTAACCCCACTTTCAAACCAAACTGTCAGATCATGTGACTTAGTCACCAATTTGACAAAATTTAAAATGGCTACCGATATCAATGCTATCAACCCGAAGTTTCTATGACAGCCATATCCAATCAATTGAACTTGCCCCTCATATGTTAGCCAATAAGAAAACTAGAAGGCACCTCTCGGTCATCTATCAATTTGCACATTTGGGTTTACTGAGATTTGGTTTGCTGACATGTCATTAGAGTGCAGGGTTTGGGAGAGAAGAGGGCGTGAGGTTGATGGGTCAGCAAGATGGCTAACTTTGCTTACAGCAGCTTTAATGTTAGTATTAAATTTGACTGTTTAGTGTCCCTTTGTAATAATTATAGTCTTTTTTAAAATGTTGAATCAATACTAAACATGAATCTTTATTGACGCCACAGGAAAAAGCTGTATATGGCATCCCTATGCCGAGAAGCTACCTGGAGTTAACCCTAAGTCCCAAAGTCAATGAAGTTGACCATCAGAGCACAGCCAACTTCAGCAGTGATGTCCTCCTGGTCCCAGACCTCTCCACATTCCAAATCCTCCCCTGGGCGGACCAGACCGCTCGTCTTATCTGTGACCCCTGCACAGTCACAGGAGTACCACTGCGAACATCACCCCGCCTCGTAGCCAAGCAGATGCTCGGTCAGCTCCAGAGCATGGGATTCTCTCTCCACTCATCTTTCACGTACGAGTGCTGTATCTTCGGAGCCCCTGAACGAGTGGGACCCAAAGCTGTGTTCTTCCCTGCCACCACACTGTTGAGCAACTACGATCTACCCTTCCTTCAGCAGTTAGTCAGGGGGATGTACTACATGGGAGTTGATGTTGAGAGCTTCTCATCTGCAAATGGACCAGGACAGATGGAGATTTGCTTCAAATCCAGGTTTGGAATCGATGCCGCCGACAGCGCTTTCACCTTCCGAACGGGAATCAAAGAGATGGCCAGGAAGTTTGACTATATCGCCACCTTTTTCACGGATGAAAACATCCACAATTCAGGATTACTATCCCATAGCCTTTGGGATTCCAGTGGCAGAAAAAGCCTCTTCCACTCAGGCAACGGGGAACTTTCGGAGATCGGCAGGAAGTGGCTCTCAGGTCTCCTCCAGCACTCAGCCGCTCTGAGCTGCCTCTTGGCTCCAGGGATTAGCTGTCGAAACCTCGGCAAGAAAGATTCCAAGAAACATCTTTACGCCACATGCGGCTGCAATGACAACAGCTGTGCCTTTAACGTGAAGGTTCATGGTGGACGGGAGATGCACATCGATAACAAGCTGGGTTCGGCAATGGCCAACCCTTACATCGTGTTGGCGGCCACGATAGCAGCGGGACTGGACGGTATTAGGCGTAATCTCAATGCCGAACAGGTTCTAAGCAGAGCTCCAGTTCAGCAGAAACAGTTCCCCATCCCTGTTAAACTGGACGATGCTTTAGAGGCTCTGTCAGAGGACAGTGTGATTTGTGGTGCATTGGGAGAGCCTTTCGTGCAGTATTTTATTGCCATGAAGCGCGTAGAGATTGAGACCCAAGAGCAGGATGCCGACAAGAACAAGGGACTTGAGTATTTTATTTAACTTCGAATTTGGTCAATTTTGTGGATTTCAAATATCTGATAATACCTTTCTTGAAAATAAAATCTGACTGGTATCTTCTGCACACTGTCTGACTGATTTTGACTGTGTCTGAATAGTCTCAACTTAAAACTTCAGAAGTAAATAGTGACTTTGAAGTTTCAACTTTCCAAATCTGTTGAGTTTGGACCTAAGGTTTCGTATGCATCCTTGGTCCTCCAGGAGTTGAATTGGACACCCCTGGTATAAAGCGTCTAGTCTGGTTGGCTTGGCACACACAGCTGAATATTACCTTGATCATAATCCTGAGGTCAACTAGTCAAACACTAATTCACAGACTGCCTATTATTATGTGAAACTTAATCAAGTCCTTATGGGAAATAAACAGGGACAAAATTCAACTACTGAAGATCCACTCCTGAGAGGAGATGGCTGATTTTTATTGGCACCAAAAAGCATCTGGAGGGTACAGAATAAAGACAGATAAGACAGCGGTGGCCTTGGTGATGATTTTTGAC